TAGTAACCCAAACTGCATGGTATTGGCATAAAAATAGACACATAGACCAATGGAACAGAAAGAGAGCCCAGAAATAAATTCATGTACCTATAGACAACCGATTTTTGACGAAGGTGTCAAGAATATATATTGGGGAAAAGACAATCTCTTCAGTAAACAGTTCTGGGAAAAGTGGATATATACATGTAGAAGAATCAAACTAGACCCCTACTTCTCACCATATACAAAAATCAACTCAAAATGGATTAGAGATTTCAGTGTAAAACCTGAAACTACAAAACTACTGGAAGAAAACATAGGTGAAATGATCCATGACATGAGGCTAGGCAAAGATTTTTTTAAATAAGACTTCAAAAGCACAAGCAATAAAATCAAAAATAGACAAGTGGAATTACACCAAACTAAAAAGATTTTGCAAATGAAACTGTTAAAAGAGTAAAGAGAATATTTGCAAACTATATATCTGACAAGGGGTTAATATCAAGAATATATAAGGAACTTAAACAACTCAACAGCAAAAAGCCAAATAACTCAATTGAGAAATGGGCAAAGGATCTTAAGACACTTCTCAAAAGAAGACATACAGGGCCAGCCTGTGGCTCACTTGGGAGAGCCTGGTGCTGACAACACCAAGTCAAGGGTTAAGATCCCCTTACTGGTCATCTTTAAAAAAAAAAAAAAAAAGAAGAAGACATACAAATGGCCAACAGGCATATGAAAAAAATGCTCAGCATCACAAATCACTAGGGAAATGCAAATCAAAACAACCATGAGATACCACCTCACTCCAGTTAGAATGGAAAAATAAAAGAAAACAAGTGTTGCTGAGGATGTGGAGAAAAGGGAAAACTTGCACCCTGTTGGTGAGAGTGCAAACTAGCACAGCCATTACAGAAAACAGTATTGAGGTTTCACAAAAAATTAAAAATAGAACTATCATTTTATCCAGCAATCCCACTTCTGAGTATATACCCAAAGGAAATGAAGTCAGTATATTGAAGAGATATCTTCACTCCCATATTTATTGCAGTACAATTTACAATAACTAAGATATAGAATCAACCTAAGTGTCTGACAACAGATGAAGGGATAAAATATATATATATATATATATATATATATATACACAAAGTGAATTACTATTCAGCCATAAAAAAGAATGAAATCCTGTCATTTGTGGCAACATGGATGGACTTGGAAGACATTATGTTAAGTGAAGTAAGCCAGGCACAGAAAGATGAATACCACATAACCTCACTCATGTGGAATCTAAGAAAAAAAAGTTCATATTATACAGGCAGAGAGTAGAACAGTATTTACCAAGGACTGGGGAGAGAAAACAGGGAGAGGCTGGCCAGTGGGTACAAAATTATAATTAGATAGGAAGAATAAATTCTGATGTTTTTTGCACAGTGGAGTAGCTACGATTAACAGTTAAGTTTTGTATATTACATAATAGCGAGAGGAGAGGCTTTTGAATGTTTTGCCATAAAGAAATGATAAATGCTTGAAGTGACTGATACATTAACTACCCTGACCTGATTATTATACAACATATATGTATCAAAACATCAGATTGTACCCTATAAGTATGTACAATTACAATGTGTAAGTTAAAATAAAAAAAAATTTTTTTTTTAAAAAGATGCTATGACCTCTACAGGAAGAACTCATGGGATTCCTAGGTACTACTGGCTTCCTAGTAGCTTTACACAAATTTTCAAAATCCTGAATATTTTGATTCAACTTTAACTTTACAACCAGAGATAACTTAAGAGGGGGAAATGTATTTCTATCTTGTCTTTTCACAGAAAGAATTTGAAGCAGCTTATAAAAACAAACAAACAAAAAACACATAAAACTATATAAATTAGCATTAAATACTGGGCCCACCAAGTATATGGATTAGAAAGCAAAAAATAAAAGTTATTATTTTCAGACAACATGACTGTATACATAGAAAATCCAAAAGAATTTACAAACTATTAGAATCAATAAGTGAATTTAACTAGCAAGCTTAATACAAGGTCAAAAATCAATTACGTTTCTATATACCTACAAGAAACAAAAAGAAAATAAACTTTAAATAAGTACTATTTATGACAATATCCAAAAAAATCAAATACCTGGAAATTAATTTAAGAGACATGCAAGACCTCTATACTGAAAATTTCAATATGATATGCAGTAAATTAAAGAAGATCCAGACAAATAAAGAGATATACCATGTTCATGGATTGAAAGACTGAATATTACAAAGATGTACACTGTCTCTAAGCAGACCTACAGATTCAGTGCAATCTCAATCAAAACACAACAGGTTACCTTGTGGAGTTTGGCAAATTAATTCTAAAATTTATATGGAAATTCAAAGATCCAAGAATAGTCAAGACAATGTCAAAGAACAAAACTGAAGGACTTACTTTACCAGGTATCTAGATCTACTAAAAAGCTACTGCAATTAAGACATATGGTAGTAGTACAAGAAAAGAAAATGACACAAAATAGAGTCCACCCATATATAGCCACCTGATATCATAAAGGTAATACTGTAGTACAGTGGGTAAAAATGGTGATCGGTCAATTGGTAAAAGGCGAAAGATTTATACGATCTGAAGAGAAACCAGAGTGTATGTGATCGGTCAATTGGAAAAAAATTTATCTTGATTCCTACCTGAAAAGACAAGCTACAGAGTGGCAGAAGATATATGAGATATACATATATATATATATGTATATATATATATATATATATATGTATATATATATATGTATGTATGTATCCAAAATAAGCTTTTAAAGATTAAAAAAAAAAAGATCTTAAAGAGATCTTAAAAAAGCATTTAAAGATCTTAATTGGATCCAAAAAAAGACTCATAACCAGATTACATAATGAACTTCTAAAATTAATAAGAACTAATAATTATAAGACAGTAAACCCAAATCAGCAAAGGACTCAAATAAGTATTTCACAAAAGAAAATATCCAAATGGCCAATAAACATATGAAAAGGTGCACAACATTATGAATCATCAGGAAAATGTAAATTTAAAGCATGATATACTACCACATACACACAAGAATGGCTAAAATGAAAGCAACAACCAATACCAAGGGTTGGTAAGGATATGGAGCAACTGGAACTCTCATACATTGCTTATGAGAGTATAAATTGGGATAAACACTTTGAAAAACTCTTTGGCAGTACTGCCAAAACTAAACATAAACTGAAACCTAGTGATTTCCCTCCTAGGTATACACCCGATAGAAATGTGTGCATGTGTTCACCAAAACATATGTGCTAGAATGTTCATAGCATCACTATTTGGAATAGCCCCAAATTCAAAGTTAACCAAATGCTCATCAACACTAGAACAAATCATGCTACATTCATACAATGGACTATTATACAGCAATGACAACAACTACAACTACATGCAACTATATGGAAGAATTTCACAAACTATACTAAAAACAAGAAACTAAGATACAAAAGAGCACGTACATATGATTCCACTTACATAATAAAATTCAGTAACCTATGATGTAAGAAGTCAGGATAGTGGTTATCCTTAAGGGAAAAGCACAAGTAAAGGGCATGAGGGGAGTACTGGGTAATATTCTTTTTACTGATCTGGGTGCTGGTCACAGTTTGTGAAAATTCATTAAGCTGTACATCTATGATTTGTTGTACATTATGGTTCCAAAACATTGGGGCAGACAAAGAATGAGGATGGAAAGATAAGATGAAATTAAAAAGGAAGTTAGTACATAAAAATAAAAAAGTATGCTTAAGGTCCTGGCAGGAGTGGGGCACCAACGTGTCTTTGAGCTTCTGTGCAGCCAAGGCAAACAGGACAATGCCATCACTTAAATAGTTCATTGTCCATTAGATAAAAACAAGCCAACTGTGCTCAGGAAGAACAACATTATTCTCAGAACTAAGATCTGAGAGAAATTTCTCCTGAGGGTTCTCAGAGCAAGATGTTGTGTAATACAGTGAACAACATATGTCCTCAACCACATCCTTTCAGCAGAAGCCACAGTGAGTGACACAATAACCTTCTCCATAGGCTGATGCCATAAAACCAAAGCATAATTCAAAGAGAGTAACTGGGGTCAAGGAGTAGGATGAGGTAAGCAAAACTGCAATGTATGTGTGCCAGTCTGATGGTCTAGAGAGATGTAGAGGGATAAATGGTCTACATATCCTCTAGGTTATCTCCCATACAGTGTTTCTCTAAACCAAACTTTTGATAGGCATTGCTCGGTAGTGAGTTCAAGGTCACACTCTCTAAGACAGGTACCTGGAGGCCAGCTATTGTATATTGTCAATGCAACAGTGGAATTGAGGAACAGGTGATATAGCCATTCATTGGAACAGTCAGTGAACTGGGGGTTCAACTGATAGTCTCTGGAAGGCTATCAGTGAAAGCTGACATGCAGAGTAATTTATATTATTATTCATGTCTCTTTTATGAAAAAAGAACTATTTTCTCCCATATCATGTTTTAAGCAAGATACTGTATGACCCACCCTTCACATTCATGCCAGCCTTATCTTTCCAAAATGCAGATCAGACACTGTAGCTACCCTCCTAAATTTTCAGTGGCTACCTAGGCCTATTGTATATACTTCAAAGTTATTAGCATGAATGCCAGGCCCTTTACATGGGCCTAATCCTGCCTTTTCAGTCTCATCTCTTATCTCTCCCTACACATCCTATACCCCAACCACACCTCACTGCTCAGTGTTTTCCAAACATGCCATTTTGGTCAGACCTGGTATTTTCTCACAAGGAAAGAAGAAATCAGGTGTCCAAAGTTTATGGCAATGCCCTCTTGTGTCTGTCACTTCACTGCTTCTGTGATAGGAATGCCTAACTGATTTTACATCATTCCTGCCATGTATAAACTCACCCTCAGCCTCCATGTCACCAGATGGAGCCTTAAATGAAAATATCCCTTTGAACATGTGCATGAGGCTGGTGAATCACTTACCCTACAATACGGCTCCTTCTTTTTTATATCTTCCTGCTGGATCAGCCTCAGGCCCTGGACACCATTCTGTAGGCCTCTCTCATATAGAGCCTGAAGTCTGGGAATTTCTTCTTGTTCAACAGCTACTATAAGCTTCACACACACACACACACACATAAATGATAAAGAGCATGGATACAGTTAAAGGTAAAGTCAATGGAAAATCATAAGTTATTACATAACTCAAACCAGGTTGATTTCTTAAAATTATTTTTTTCTTTCCTTCCAAGAAATAAGAAATATCAAAGAAAGAAAGTTTTCTTTTTCTTTTCTTTCTTTTTTTTTTTTTTTGCAGCTGGCCATACAGGGATGGAAACTTGGTTCAAAGAAACTTTTTTAAAAAGCCACAGAATAGGCAAAGCAGGCAATTATATGACAGAAGAAAAATAATGGGGAAAAAAATTAAAAATAAATATTAGTTAAGTATAAAAAAATTATTTTTTCTTCATGTATCTACTTCTCCCTTTTTTCATATCTTTATTTTCTTCCTCCACCAAGAAAATTTGTCTTAAGAAAATGACACGAAAACAAGCTTTCCCCAAAGGTGAGATGTAGCCTCAGTTTCTACTTCTCTACATGCCTCGTGGCCACAAGCAATTCTTATCACCACCACTCCCTCAATCCCAGAGCGGGGAGAAACACAGGTTGTTTAGTTTTTACATTTTTCTCCCTCAAAACAGAATGGCCTTGTTGTCAAAGGACAAAATTACAACAAATCTAGTTTAGAGATCTTAATTGGATTTTATTTAAGATTCTAGAATTGGGCAACATCTAATTCTATAAAATAGAATGAGTGTTCCAATGAGCCAAGCAGAGGAGATTGGTTTTATAGACAGGAAAGGGCTGAGAAAAGCAGGAACAGAAAACAAAAAGCAAATTGGTCAGTTCAAAGTTACTTTTCTTTTTTCCTTTTTTTTTTTTTTTTTCTTTTTTTTGAGAGAAGGTATGGGGATCTGAACCCCTGACCTTGGTGTTAACAGCACTATGTTCTATCCAAGTGAGCCAACTGCTCAGACCCCAGAGTTATTTTTCTTGTAAAGGTTAAAGCAAAGGGGACTTTCTTATCCTGCTGGCTAAAAACTGGCCTGTTTAGGGATTCAGCTATTATCTCTCTCTCCTGATTTCTTGGAAGGTCAGATTAACAACTTAATTTTGGCTTGGTGGTGGAGAACTTCAGCATGAGTAATTCCATTTTGCTTTGGTCTATTGGGCCTAGTGCAGGAGCTCAGTCCAAACCAATGACCCCCTATAGATTTTACTTAACAATGTGAAATACCAGTACATCAAAAAGATGACTCTTATTCAGTAAAATAGGATATCACTGACAGAAAACTATCCCTTTTATTTCCTGGAACAAATTACAAGTATTTACTACTAACACATTCTGTTGCAGAGAAAAAATAGTAAATTCATCAACTTTACTCAAGACTCTTTTTCCGTTTCTTTCTAGGCAAAGTATTTGTTTAGAGTTTCTTCCTTATTTAACAGTTACCAGTAAAACACAAATGTATATTCACAAGTACATTAGAACTCACAAGTCACTATTTCATACCAGAGAGTAGAATGTCATGAGGTAATACTTTTAATCAAGGCATAAAGGCTATTTAAATCAACAAATAATTAACCTTAAAAATAGAAGAGGAATGAAGACACTATCCAGAGAGCAAAAAGACAACCCACAGAATAGGAGAAAATATTTGCAAATCATATAGCTGATAAAGGTCTTGAACATATACAATATTCTTAACAACTCAACAATAAAAACTGAAAATACAATTTCATATCTTGCTTTTTTCACGTAACATTATGTCAGGACCATTTCCCCACAATATTAAAAAAAATTTTTTAATAGCATCTTTAATGGTAACAATGTGCTTTTATTCTTAAAAATTACATGGAGAGGGACATCACTACCAACCTTACAGACATAAAAAATACTTATAAGAGAACATATATGTTCATAGTGTACAGTTGAACACCATGAACAACTGTATGCCAACAAATTAGATAATCGAAATAAAACAGACAAATTCTCAGAAAGACACAAACTTCTGAAAATGACTCAAGAAGAAAAAGGAAGAAGAAATCTGACTAGACCTGTAACAAGAGATTGAAAACTTCCCACGCACAAAAAAACACCCAGGCCCAAGAGCTTTACTCATGAATGCTATCAATGTTTAAAAAAGAATTAATACCAATTCTTCATAAACTCTTCCAAAAAAACAGAAGAGGAAGAAACACTTCCTAATTCTATGGCGCCAATATTAGCCTGATGTCAAAACCAGACATCATGAGAAATTGCAGATTAATATCCCTTATAAATATTGGTGCAAAAATCCTGAACAAAATACTAATAAACTGAATTCAGTAACATATAAAAAGAATTATATCCCATAACCAAGTGGAATTTATTCCAGGAATGCAAGATCAATATAACATCCAAAATTCAATTAATGCAATATACTATATTAACAGAATAAAAGACAAAAATCATATGATCACCTCAACAGAAGGAAAAAAGGGCATTTGAAAAATCCAACAGCCTTTCATGATTAAAAAACACTCAACAAACTAGGAATGGAAAGGAACTTACTTAACCTGATAAAAGGAACCGACAAAAAACCCACAGATAACATCATTCTTGACGGTGAAAGATTGAATGCTTTCTCCCTAAGATTAGGAACAACACAAGAATTTTCACTTTTACTGCTACTATTCGACACTGTATTGGAAGCTATACCTATGGAAATTAGGCAAGCCAAATAAATAAATAAAAGGCGTCCAAGTTGGAAAAGATGTAAAACTAACTTATTCGCAGATGCCATGATCCTGCATATAGAAATTCTCTCCTGCCTAAAGAATTCTCTCTCTCTCTCTCTCTCTCTCTCTCACAGACACACACACACAGAACTAATAAGTGAGTTCAGTAAGGTTGCAAGATAAAAAAATCAATATATAAAAATTAATCATATTCCATACATTAGCAATAAATAATCAAAAATGATAGTAAGAAAACAATTCCCCTCACAAAAGCAACAAAAACAATAAAATACTGAGGAGTAAATTTAACAAAAGAAGTACAAGACTTATACACTGAAAACTACAAAACATTGCTGAAAGAAATTGTGGAAGATCTAAATAAATGGAAAAAAACCCATGTTCATGGATTGCAAGATTTAATATTGTTAAGATGTCAATATTCCCCAAATCAATCTAAAGATTCAACACAATCCCTATCAAAATCCCAGCTGCCTTTTTGGAGAAATTGACAAGCTACTCCAAAAATTCATTTGGAAATGCTAGGGTCCAAGAATAGCCAAAACAATCTTGAAAAAGAACAAAGTTGGAGGATTCACATTTCCTGTATTGGCATAAAGACAGACATATACATCACTGTAATAGAATTGAGAACCATTAATATTCATGCTCTACTGATTTTTTCTTTTTCTTTTTTTGGGGGTGGTTGGCTGAATACTCAACTGATTTTTGATAAGGGTGCCAAAACAATTAACATAGAAAGAACAGTCCTTCCAACAAACGATGCTGAGACAACTAGATATCTACATGCGAAAGAATGAAATTGGACCCCTTCTACATATCATATATCAAAATAAATTCAAAAGTGATCATAGATCTAAATGTAAGAGCTAAGACTACAAAACTCTTAGAAGAAAACATAGGAGTAAGTACTTATGATCTAATGTTAAGCAATGGTTTCTTAAATATGATACTAAAAGCATAAGCAACAAAAGAAAAAAGATAAATTGAATTGGACTTCATCAAAATTAAAAACATATATATATATATATATATTTATTTATTTATTTTGGGGCAGCTGGCTGACACAGGGATCCAAACCCTTGATCTCGGTATTATCAGCACCACGCTCTAACCAACACTTTAGTGTTTCAAAGATACCATCAAGAAAGTAAAAAAAGAAAATCTACAGAATGGGATAAAATATTCCAAATCGTATAGTTGATATACTTTATCCAGAATATATTAATAACATGTACAAATCAACAATAAAAGGCTGGTTAGTTCAGTTGGTTACAGCACAGTGCTGATAAAACCAAGGTCAAGGGGCTGGCCAGACAGCTCAGTTGGTTAGAGCACAGCCCTATAACACCAAGGTCATGGGTTCAGATCCCTGTACTGGCCAGCTGACAAAAAATAAAAAAATAAAAAGACAAATAACCCAATTTTAGAATGGGTAAAAAAATCTGAATAGACATTTCTCCAAAGAAGCTATATGAATGGCCAATAAGCACAGAAAAAGATGCTCAACATAGACTCAGCAGTCCCAGTACTGGGTATACGAGTATGTACAAAGAAAATGAAATCAGGTTGTCATTATCCACAATAGCCAAGATAAGGAATCAACCTAAGTGTTGATCAACAGATGAATGGATAAAGAAAATGTGGTATATATAAACAACAGAATACTATTCAGCCTTAAAAAGAAAGAAATCCCATCTTTGCAGCAACAAGAATGAAACTGGAAGGCGTTATATTAAGTGAAATAAGCCAGACACAGAAAGATAAATACCAAATGATCTCACTTACATGTGGAATCTAAAAAAAGGTGAACTCAAAGAAATGGGGAGTAGAATGGTGGTAACCAGGGGCTGGAAGGAGGAGGGGTTGGGGAGATATTGGTCAAAAGATACAAAATTTCAGTTAGGTGACTATAGTTAATAAAAATGTATTATATTCTTTTTTTTTTTTTTGTCTTTTGTCTTTTTCCGTGTCCGGCAACGGATCGCAACCCTCAGTGTTGCCCCCGTACCGGACCGGGGACCGGCAACGGGATTGCAACCCTCGGTGTTGCTCCCGCGCCTCGCTCAACCAGTGAGCGGGAACCGGTCTGTATGTGGGATCCGAACCCTCAGTGGGAGCGCCGCCGTGCTTCCCAAGCGGCGCACTTATCCAGTGCGCCACCGGGCCGGCCCAAAATGTATTATATTCTTAAAATTTACTGTCGTAGCAATCTTTAAGTGTTCTTACCACACAAAAAAAGATAAGTATGTGCGGTAACGCATGCATTGGTTAGCTCAATTTAGCCATTTCATAATGCATACATATTATGAAACAACATGTTGTACACAATAAATATACACAATTTTTGTCAATTAAAAAACAAATTAATTTTTAAAAAGGAATAAAAAGAAAAGATGCTCAACATCATTAATCACTAGAGAAATGCAAATAAAAACTGCAATGAGATACCACTTCATATCCACTAGGATGGCTAAAATAAAAAAGACAGATAAGTATGGTCTGGGGTTTGATCCCTATACTGGCCAGCCACCAAAAAAAAAGGTCACACAATAGCAAGTACTGAGGAGGGTATGAAGAAATTGGAATCTTCATTAATTACGGGGGGAACACAAAATAGTGCAGGACTTTGGAAAGCGGTTTGGCAGTTCCTCAATATGTTGAACGTGGAGTTACTGTGCAACCCAGCAATTCCACTCCCAGGTATATATCCAAGAGAAATGAAAACATATGTTCACACAAAAATGTGCACACTAATGTCCATAGCAGCATTATTCATAATAGCCAAAAAGTGGAAACAACCAAATGTCTATCAACTGATGAATAGATAAACAAAATGTGATATAGCCACACAATGAAATGTTATTCAGTCATAAAAAGGAATGAAGTACTGATTCACACTACAAGATGGATGAACTTTGAAAACAGTATGCAAAGTGAAAGAAGCCAGACATAAAAGATCACACAGCATATGATTCTATTTATATGAAACATCCAGAAAAGTCAAATCCACAGAGACAGAAAGTATACTAATGGTTGCTAGGGGCTGGGGCAGGTAGGAGTGGGGACTGACTGCTAATGGATATGGGATTTCTTTTTCAGGGTAATAAAAATATTCTAACATTAGATGGTGGTGATGGTTACAGAACTCTGTGAATATACTAAAAACTGAATTGTACATGTTAAAAGGGTGAATTACATGGTATGTAAATTGTATGTCAATAAAGTTATTTTAAAAATTACATTGTCACACCATTTTTTTTTTTTTAGTTAATTCTTAATAATAGATTTCATAAATTACATAGATACAAAGGAAGAAAAAGGCAGGTATTTTTAAATATTCAATATTAAACATCACTAAGAAAATGTTAGTTATAAATAACTTGAGGCCCTAGTAAAATGCCATACCTTGCCACATTGCTTGTAGGCAATTCCCTTTTGGTTACAGTACTCATAGATGAGGGCTGCGCCTTGTACACATAATTTAGCTTTCAGAGATTCAGGTTTATAATAAATTCCACTATGTATGACACCACTGTTATGTCCAGTCTGGTGAACAGCTACAGAACAAGAGAAACAAGGTAAGAGAAAGTACGATTCACACAAAACCTAAGTGGTGAGAGAACAAACTTATAGTTGAAGCTTTTACAGGCCACATCATTTAGAATTCTGCCTGAATTTGTTCAGATCACTGGTAACTTCCTCTAGCAGCCATCTATGGTATCAGTGTCACATCTCTCCAGCTCATCTCTGATTTCAGCTATAACTTAAGTGTACAAATTCACCTCTCACTAGCAGCAAACTACTTCAAGGGCCCACTAGAGCTCTCTGCACTCTGCCCCAGGGCCTTTTCTAACACTGGGGGCCAGGGGAAGATCTCAACATCACTAGGGGCAATCCTCGGCCCATAGAGACAGAAGCTGATGAATAAATGAGTGCAATCCTGGGAAACATTTCATTGCTCCTCATTGGACCCAGTGTAATCAAGCTCACAGCAGCAGCCAAAATGCACCCTCGTGCGGCTTTTCCTCCTTCCCTATCTTACTCTCCCCACCCCTTCACTCCTGCCTCCTCAGATAACCTCACAAATAAATCACCTACATCCAAGTACTAGTTAGTCTCTGCTTTCAGGAGAACTCAGCTAAGATACTATGATGGTTAATTTTAGGTGTCAACTTGACTAGATTAAGAAATACCTAGAAAACTGGTAAAGCATTATTTTGGGGTATGTCTGTGAGGGTGTTTCCAGAGGAGATTAGCACGCGAGCCTGAGTAGACTAGGTAGAAAAGATTTGTCCTATATATGCACAGGCACCATCCAACCTGCTGAGGAACCACAGAGAACAAAAATAGAGGAAAAGGTGAATCTCTCACTCTATCTGTTGGAGCTGGGATACACTCTACTCTCCTGTCCATGAACATCAGTAACTTAAGACTCTTCAGTCTTTCCAGGACTTGCACCAGCAGCACCTCTGGCTTTCAGGCATTTGGCCTTTGACTAAGAATCACACCACTAGCTTCCCTGTTTCTAATACTTGAGCACTTGGACTGAGCCATGCTACTGGTATCCAGTTTGCACACGGCCTATTGCAGGACTTTTCGGCCTTTATAATCATGTGAGCCAATTCTCCTAATAAATCCCCTCTCATATATTTATACACATATCCTATTGGTTCTGTCTCACAGGAGAACCCTGACTAACACAGATATCAACACTGGCATTCAACATGAAAGATTTTGAACTGACAAAATGAGCAGGTGCCCAAGTAAGCCCAAAGAACAACACTGATAACATACATACCTAAATCTTTCTCCTTTTCCAGAACACCAATCGAAAGTGCTGGATGTCGCAGAATGAGGGCTCTGGCAGAGGCAAGTCCCACAATTCCACCACCAACAATGACTACATCAAATGAGCTTTAAGAGAAAGTCACCTTTAAGTAATGACTGTTTAGAGTACACCTCACCAAACTTCAGATGCATACTTTTTATCACGAATGGACAATTAAACTATTAATTTGTAATCATCAAAATCAAATATGTATTGGGTTTTGTGCTATTTGGCTCATGGTTAACACTCATGAACAAACCTGTATAAGTTCCACCCATTGCTGGTCAGTAGTATAATCAGCTACAGCCTCCTGGCAGGCAGGATGGCTGGTTGCTCGAGCTGTTTTATGTCTCCATAGTACCCTACCTGGGCTGGTTACATCAGTGATTACTTTGTGTTAAGTATAATACTTTTCTCTACCCCCTATCCTTTTAAAATTCAAACATAGTACTCTTCAACCTTTAATACTTTAGCATGCAAGGATTTATTCTTCTTTTTCTGTTGAGAAGAAAACAGCAGTAAGAACATCAAATCTTAGGAAATAATTGGTCCAAAAATGGGCTCAAAACCTCAATCTTAGCCATGACAAACCCTGATTACATAACCATTTTAAAAATTAGGAAGGGCATGTTTAATTTATCTAATTCTGTAATAAAAAGCTTAAAAATTACTTTTAGCACTTAGCTCATGGTCAACAAATCTAGGTCTTATTGGAACAGCAGAGTGAGAGAAATTTCAGAGATTAGGCCCTTCCTTTGAAAAGTGATCTAAACTTCAATTTCAAAATCCTTAGCAGAAGCACATTAATTTGATTACAGTACAACTATTACCACATCTGTGGCTACACCTGTAATCAGAAACAGTTCCTGGACAACTAGAGACTAACATATGATAAACCCAAGCTTGCATCTTAAATTAACCTGGGGGTCATAAGTGCATCAAGTTCCCCCTTTAGTGCATGTACCTCAAAACTTGGACAGGGAGAGCTTCCAGGTGGTGCTCAACGGGTGGTTCTCCTCTGCAGCACCTTTAGACAGCTGGATAAAATGCTTGCCGAGGAGTATGTATGATGGTGAACAATGCCCACATTTAGAAGAGAGGGCATAAAGAGAGTTGCACAAGTGAAATGGGATTCTGGGTCCACTACATTAATAGCAGTTATTGGCAAATGCTTGCAGTGGCCAACTAAAAAATTACTATTATTATCAGAGTGTATGTGGAAGTCAAGGGCTTTAAACAGTTTTTGTTTTTTATCCCTAGATAAAGGCTAAAACGCTCACATTACACTACAGTTACTTACAGTGATAGCCATTGACCCCTTATACAACTTTCACAATAAGCAGACCATTTTATGAAATCTAAAAAACCTGGTGTTTAGGGACTCCAGAAGAATAACTATTGTTAAAATAGGCTTCATATTTTCCAAAACCTCCATAATCTTCCACTAAGGTAGGGGTTCAAAACATTTAGAAATACTTAAGATATTGGTATGTGTATGACTTAGAATATTTTATATACTTTTTTCTATATCAAAGTGATATCTAAAGCCTTTTGGTGAGGTAGACCTTCCACTGAGAGTCACAATAGCAGTACCATCTCTCAGCCAAGAAGTTTTACTTGGCTCTTGTGTTTGCAGATTATATGACAACCATCAATAAACCATAAAACTATTATAGTGAGTGTGATTTTTCCAATTACAAATGCCACCCTTCACTCTCCCTCCTCAAACCCAAAGAATCACTGTTCTATACAGTGACATAAAATCATTGAAGTATGTTTCACAAACTAAAGCACAAACCTCCAAGCATCCATTATGGGGGAAGATGCCCAGAACAATAGTAACAGATGAACACTGGAGGACATTTGCAGGCTAAGCTAACCATAAAGGCCGAAGGGGACAGTGTTCTCCACAGCTCACTTAATCTCAAGTCAACACCAATCAGCAGTTTAACAAATAACTTTTTTGAAGGTTTTCATTATGGAAAAGTTCAAACCTATACAAAGGTAGAATAGCACAATGAACCACCACATACACATCACCTAGATTCAATAATGGCAAATCCCACTTCTGTACACCACCAATTTCACCACTTCCTGTATTACATTATTTTGATGTAAATCCTGAACATCACATTACTTCATTTGTAAATATTTTAAAAGTTATTTCTAAAAGGTCTCTTTACTTCGGGTGTTTTTCTTATTTCAAGTTCAGCTTTGATGCTTTGCTTTGCCTTCAAAGGGATTTTACACCTAGTTTTAATTCTCCATAAAAGCAACTGTAATTAATATAAATTTTGTTTCTTACGTTCTTTAAAAAAATTTTTTAAAATTATTTATTTATTTGTTTGGTGGCTAGCTGGTACGGGGGTCTGAACCCTTGACCTTGGTGTTACCATATTTTAAAATTTTAACTGACATAATAATTGTACATATTTATTGGATACTGTGTGATATAGTGATACATGTACATAATGTATGATGTTCAAATCAGGTTAATCAACATATCCATTACCTCAAACATTTATCATTTCTTTGTGTTGGGAACATTCAAAATCTTCTCTTCTAGGTAACTGACAGTATACTATATACTGTATAGCATAATAATAGAGTATACTATATTATTGTTAATTATAATCACCCTAAAATTCTATGGAACACTATTTCTTATTCCTTCTATCTAGCTGTAATTTTATATCTATTAACCAACCTGGTGATATCCCTCCTCCCCCCACCTTTCCCAGCCTCTGGTAACAACCATTCTACTCTCTACCTCTACTCGATCAACTTTCTTAGCTTCCACATACGCGCAAGAACATGCAGTATTTCTCTTTCTGTTCCTGGCTTATTTCACTTAACATTTCCTTCAATCTCATCCATGTTGTTGCACATGACGGGATTTCATTCTTTTTTATAGCTGAATAGTATTCCATTGTGTATATCCACATTTTCTTTATCCAGTCATCTGTTGATGGACACTTAGGTCGATTCCATACCTTGGCTATTGTGGTGCTGCAATAAAGATGGGACTGCAAATATCTCTTCAATATACTCATTTCCCTTTTTTTTGTTTTTTGGTTTTTGGTAGCTGGCCAGTATGGGGATTTGAACCCTTGACCTTGGTGTTATAACACTGCACTCTGACCAACTGAGCTAACCAGTTAGCCTTCCTTTCCTTTGGATATATACCTAGTAGTGGTATTGCTGAATCACATGTAGTTTTCGTTTTTTGAGGAACCTCCATACTGTTTTTCATAATGGCTGTAATAATTTATTTTCCCACCAACAATGTATAAGAGTTCCCCTTTCTCTGCATCCTCACCAAAAGGCCTCTTTCAAAACATACAAACAGTATTATTGTAACTAAAAAAAATATTAATAAAAACCAAACAAAAAAATTAAAATTAAAAAAATTAACATTAAGCTATTATATCATCAAATATTCACTATAAAACTTTCAGAAAAAAATAGATGATACAGTTTAAATGTGTCCCGTGAAAGTTTATGTGTTGGAAACTTGATCCCCATTGTAAGAACCTTAAGAGGGTGGGAAATCCAATTATGGTACTTGAAAGGTGGGGCCTTTAAGCAGTGATTAGATTGTGAGGACTTTTTTTTTTTTTTTTTTAAAGATGACCGGTAAGGGGATCTTAACCCTTGACTTGGTGTTATCAGCACCATGCTCACCCAGTGAGCAAACCGGCCATCCCTATATGGGATCCAAACCCGTGGCCTTGGTGTTATCAGCACCGCACTCTCCCGAGTGAGCCACAGGCCGGCCCCGATTGTGAGGACTTTGAATGGATTGATCCATTCATGGAATAATGGTTGTGATTCTGATGGGTTTACAAGGAGAGGGAGTGAGAAAGTTAGTTCTCTCTTGATCAGCCCATTCTTTCCCCATGTGATACTCTGCTCACCATGGGACCCTGTAGAACATTCCCACCAAGAAGGTCCTACCAGATGTGTTCCCTGGACTTTGGACTTCCCAGCCTCCAAAACTGTAAGAAATAAATTTCATTTCTTTATAAATCATTCAGTTTTAGGAATTCTGTTTTAAGCAACAGAAACAGACTAACATAATAGGACAAAATCTTTGGGACCTAGAGTTTACACCAAAAGCATGATCTATAAAAGAAAAAAACTGATAAGCAGGACTTCATCGAAATTTAAAACTTTTGTTCTGCAAAAGACCCTGTTAAGATGATGAAAAGATAATCAACAGATTGGGAGAAAATACTTGCAACTACATATCTGACAACGGACTCATACCTAGAATATGTAAAGAAATCTCAACACAAACAAGCCACTTAGAAAATGGACAAAGAACAAACATTTCTTCAAAGAGGACAGATATACAGATGGCAAATAAGCACATAAAAGATGTTCAACACCATTAATCACTGCATTGTTCAAACACCATTGACTTAGGGAAATGCAAATTAAAAACACAATGAGATATCACTACACCCCTATCAGAATGGCTAAAATAAAAAAAGTGATAACACCAAATGCTGGTGAGGATGAGAAGAAACTGGATCATTCCTATCTTGCTGGTGGGAATGTAAAATAGTACAGTCACTCTGGAAAAGAGCAGGGCAATTTCTTTAAAAACTGAACTTGCACTTGCTACATGACTCAGCAGCTGCATTCTTGGGCACTTATCCCAGAGATGTTCATATGAAAACCCATACACGAATGTTCATAGCAGCTTTATCTATAATAGCTCCAAAATGGAATCAGCCCATATCCTTCAGCAGGGGAATGGTTAAACAAAGTGTGATGCATCCATACCATGGAAGCCTGCTCAACAATTTTTAAAAACCCACTAGCAACACAGGCAACACCTTAGATGGATCTCAAGGACATGCTGTGTGAAAAAAAGCCAATCTCAAAAGGTTACATACTGTATGATTCCACTTATATAACACTCTCAAAATGACAAAATTATAGTGATGGAATACAGATTAGTGGTTGCCAAGGGTTAGGAAGAGTGGAGAGGAAGGGTAGAGAGGTAGGGTGGGAAAGTAGGCTGTGAATATAAAAGGATAGGTAACACAAGGGATATCTTTGTGGCAACGGAACATTTTTATATAGTGATTGAGATGATGATTACCCTAATTTACATATATTAAATTGCACAGAACTACACACATATAAATGAGTGCATGTAAAATTGATAAAATCTAAATGAGGTGTATAGATTGTGCCAATATCAATTTCATGGTTTTGATATTGTACTATAGTTATCTAAGATGTTAACAGTGGGGTAAAAGGGGATGAAGGGTACATGGGACCTCTACGCTAGTTTCGCAATTTCCTATACATCTATACTTATTTCAAAATAAAAAGTACCCTACTTTCTTCCCTTAAGAAAAGCTTCTCAAAAGAACTGTTTACATACTCCACAGCGAATCGCAAACGCTGTTACTAGTATACCACTCTAATCACCTTCCAATCCACTAACACACTAGCAGCCGGAGTCAACTTTTTTTTTTTTTTTCCTTTTTTCGTTTCCGGCAACTGATCGCAACGCTCGGTGCTGCGCCTGCACCTCGCTCAGCCAGCGAGCAGGAACTGGTCTGCATGTGGGATCCGAACCCTCGGCGGGAGCGCAGCCGTGCTCACGCAAGCGGCGCACTGTAGCAGTGCGCCACCAGGCCGGCCCTGGAGTCAACTTTTGAAATATCAATATTTAATCACTCCCCACTTCTTAAAGCCCTTTATTTTTTTATTTTTATTTTTTTCCTTTTTGTCTTTTTTCGTGTCCGGCAACGGACCGCAACCCTCAGTGTTGCGCCCGTACCGGACCGGGACTGGCAACGGGATCGCAACCCTCGGTCCTGCGCCCGCCCCTCGCTCAGCCAGTGAGCGGGAACCGGTCTGTATGTGGGATCCGAACCCTCGGTGGGAGCGCCGCCGCGCTCCCAAGCAGCGCACTATAGCAGTGCGCCACCGGGCCGGCCCCTTAAAGCCCTTTAAATAGCTTCCTATGGCTTAGAATAAAATTCAACGCATAGTTAAAATAAAAACAGTGCTGTAATGTAGCCCCTATGTGGTGTCATTCCACACCATCTGTCTTCCACCAAGCTCCAGTCACACTCACATTGCCCTCCTCAAAATAGCCAAAACCTTCCTAGCCTTGGAGCCTCCGTACAAACCGTTCTCTCTGCATAGAGGAGAGGAAGACAATGGTTTCAAATGCGACCTCCAAACTTCAAATCACAGGGTTCTGAATCCTGCAAGCTTTGATTAGCAACTGAGCTGCTTCTCACAGGAGCAACTCCAGGCAGTGTGTGCCACGAGCTGATTGATTTAAGACCGGATCCAGATCTTCCAAGCAACACCAGAGACGGCAGCTAATAAACAGCATATTTGATTACTTATAGCGTGCTAGGTCCTTTTATCCTCAAAACGACCACCTACGAGAGAGCCTAAGATCCTATTCACAACGGAGCTTTTAAGGAGGTTAAGTAACCCTCCTAGAATAGAAAGTGGAGTAGCTGTATTCAAAGCCAGGCGTGCTCTTGACCTTTACTCAACCACTGCCTTTCCTCCAGCCCACAAATACAACGAATGAACCCTGCAGGTTAGCAGCTCCTGGGAACTGAGGGTGGAGCTCCACGGCATCTCGACCTTCTCTCATGCTCGGGACAGGAAAGCACGAGCAGGGGCATAGCTCCAGTTCAAGGTACCTGTGCGGGAAGGAGCAGCGCAGGTGGCGGGGGCGGGCCAGCGGCCACTCACCTGGTGCTGGCGCTGCGGCCACCCCCGCACTGCGGCCAGGGCCTCCCTGACGCCGGCCCGCACGTCCAGGGGAAGCCCCCGGGAAAACCCCAGCGGGCCCGTCCGCAGGCACCCCCCAGGTAGCGCAGCGCCGGCACCATCGCCTGCACCCTCTTCCCTTTCTCAGTCCCCACAGGTGGCCACTCGAGCCTGACACTGCCCGGGTCCAGGCGCTCTCTAGCCCCGCCCCTAAGCAGGGGCCAATGAGATGCGCGCCTTCGCCCACGTGGGAGCGGCCGCGGGTGGCCAATGGACGCACGCGGCGGAGGGCAAAGGTCATGTCGGCGCGCCGTAGACGCGGTCACGCTCGCTCGCTCCCTCCACCGACGCCGTGAGTAGAGGAGCTAGGCCCCGGGCGGGGCGGGACTAGGGTGGTGGTTAAGCTCCGATCTCTCCTTTCTCCCTTTTCCCAACGCTGGGCGGACTGAAAACCTGGCCGGCCGAGTCGCGTATATTCGACCTTCTCCACCGAGCGGACTTGGGGCAGCGGGAGAATGTCAGGGCGTGATTATGGTGAAAATTCTCGTTTGGGCGGGCCGAGCGGCTTCCCTGCTCCTGCTCGGCCCCGCCCCCGCTCGGCCCCGCCCGCAGCCTGCTGGAGGCCCATTGCTGGGCACCGGAGGTCTCCAACTCGGTTCCCACCGAGCCGAGTGTCCACTAAAGGCGCGCTCCTTGTCCGGTCCTTGCCCTCGCTTCGGACGGAGCTCCTTGTCACTGCCATGCCTGATAGCCCGCAGTCTTCTGGACTTCTTTTTGTGAGGCTCCCGGCAGTGTCATTCATTCAGTCATTGATTCGTCTTGTGAATATCAAGTGTCTACTTTATACTGGACCGGGCACTGGATACGAGATGAACCACACAGCTCGGTCTCTGCCATCATTTTGCAATCTGTACCGTTTTCTTAAATATTGGACCGAGATACAGTTTTAAACATACTGTGTGGGCCTAAGAACAGCGAATCACCTGTGCAGGTCACTTCACCCCGTTTCTTTATTGGAGGGGATAGATAGGCTATGTAATCTCTAAAGGATCCTCTAACTCTGTAAAAGTATGTGATTTTCTGTCACCGTGAGAATTTAACACTCTTTTCTATGCTTCACGGCAGGTTTTAATTTTTAGGGTCATGACAGCTGAACAGAACAGAATAGAATAATATAACTTTATTGTTGGAAGGCTTTACTTACCAGTTTCAATCTTGGTTCCAGTCTTTAGTCAGGTGGCTCTGGGAAGTCATTTCACCTCTTTGCCTCAGACCCTCCTCTGTGAACTAGGAATAATAACAGTGTGACCCTCATAATATCTTTGAGCGGATTACATGAAATAAGGCTCATTAAGTGATCACCACAGTGAAGCGTTCAGTAAAGGACGGCTTTCTGTTATGTTAAAATGGTTTTACCGCCAGAACAGTAGTACTTATTTTGCTTTGTGAAAACAACGTAGAATATTGCCTGCTTATTCCCTTACAAATGAAAATGAGATGGTTATTTTTTAAATTCCGTTTCTATTTTAATTGTAGCTTTCCATACAGCTGTAAGAAATAATAGAGATCCTGTGTACTCTTTACTCAATCTCCCCCAATGATAATATTTTGCAAAACTATGTAATGCAACATCACAACCAGGTAATTGACATTGACACAATCCATTGGTCTTACCCACATTTCCCCAGTTTTATGTTTCTCTGTGTGTATTTAATTCTATATAATTTTTATCACCTTGTAGATTCTTGTATCTGCCACTACAGTCAAGATACAGCACAGTTCCATCACCAGGAGGATTTCTGGTTGCCCTTTTATAACCACACTTCTCTCTTGTAGCCCCTCCCTCCAATCTTTTCTCCCTTTCTAAAATTTTGTCATTTCAAGAATGCTATATAAATGTAATTATATGGAATGTAACTTGAGATTGGCTTTTCCCACTCAGCTTGATCCCTTGAGATCCATCTACATTGTTGCATGTGTCAATAGTTCATTCCTTTTCATTACCAAGTAACATTTCATAATATGGATCACCACAGTATGTTTAATCGTCGACCCGTTGAAGGATCTATGAGTTTGTTTCCAGTTTTTAGCTATTATGAATAAAGGTGTATGAACGTTAGTATTTAGTTTTTTGTGTGAACCTGTTTTTGCTTTTCTAGGATAAGTGCCCAAGAGTCCAATTGCTGGGTCACATGGTAAGCATATGTTTAATTTTGTAGGAAACTGCCAATCTGTTTTTCAAAGTGGCTGTACCATTTTATGTTCCCATCAGCAATGTTTGAATCATTCCATTCTCCTCGTTGTCACCAGCATTTGGTGTTGTTACTATTTTTTATTTTAACCATTCTGATCGGTATATACTGGAGGTGGTTATTTTTTTAGTTTGCACAGGATATAGTTATATACTTCAAAGGGCCGTGATCAGACTTTTGTGGGCCAGCTCAGTCCATAGTCTTGATTTTGAGCTATGTGTTTCTTAGTTTAACATGGGTAAAAGAACTCAGAATACACGTCTCTTTTTATAAAATTTTCTCCGCTTACCTTCCCCTTTACTGCCAGGTTTGACTGTACAGTAGTTTGTTTCAATTAAGTAATTTCAAATCAAAAGCTTACCTTGCATTCATACACCCTGTAATACCTGTGGGTAGAGATATTTGTATTCCTGACACCACCCTCCTTCGTTGAGAATTTGTGTTCACCTTCTCCCATCTAGGTCAAAAACTATGAGAAGTTAGTTCAATGAGTGCCATGTGATATTGGCCTAGGAATGGCTTTGGGGATATTTGCTTGTAATTCCTAATGAGTTGCTCTGTTGGTCTGTTTCCCTACATTCTATACATCTCAGGAATAAGAACTGGGATCAATAATGGATGGTTTACGTGGGATAGGGTTGTAATTTGGGGGAAACTCCCCAATTCTGATGGCACCCCATCCCTCTCTCCACACATTACCCACACTTAAGAATTAGTTGATTAGTTTTCAGTCTTTTTGACCACCAAATCAGCCATCACTTTGAATAGCCCACTAAGTAATTGCATTATTTATTTACTTATTTATTCTGGTTTTTGGTGGCTGGCTGGTATGAGGGTCTGAACCCTTGACCTTGGTGTTATTACACTGCTCTAACCAACTGAGCTAACTGGCCAACCCAGTAATTGCATTTAATATGTAAAATGAGAACTACTTTTTAAAAAAAACTTAACCGTTTTTAGGCAAATGGGGAAACTGCTAATCAACTTTACTCAGAAAACACTTCTGTTTGTATAACCCTATTTTGAGTAACACATTGGAGGTCTGGCCTTCTCCAAGTTACAAACATAATTGCAACTTTTAGAAACACTGTTACAAACTTATGGCTCTAAGACATGGTCTGATAGTAAAAAGTTTGTTTTTGTTTTTTTTCATAGTTTGAGTTCTGGGATTATTTGTGGCAACAGTAATTTAGTAGTGGTTATTTTTTAACTTGTTTTTAACTGGTTTCTTTCAATTTATTAGAGCTAAATTCACTTACCCACCACTAGATGTCTCTTCTTTCTCTATAGAAAGCATTCCCAGAAATAGCTGCTGGGACTTAAGGAGGAATAATTCCCAAAATCGATTAGCAAAGTTGCAGTTGAGAATGCAAGAACCCCCCAATTTGTTTTTACTTTTATTGCCAAATATAAAATTAATTTTTATGTTTAAATTAGTTATAGTATCCAGTGTTTTTAGAGATCACAGCTAAAGTAAATTTGGCCTTCTCTTTAAGTTTAATTATAAGATGGGCCAAAATGAATCGAGTGAAAGTATTCCATTTTCAAAGACCACTCTAATTCACCTGCTTAATAACAGTTTCTCTGGTTTTACCTTTCTCCATAGAAATATGTTAACCATTGAAGACTATTAATTAACAAGTATTTATTAAACTTGCATTATGCTGAGAAAAATGGAAATGAATAAGATGTGATCCTTGCTCTTCCTTTTGCTCTGCATACTTTATTTCCTTCTTCTTCACTGGAAACTTGTAATCATTATTTAAGACCCTCCTCAAAAGATACTTGGAGTGTGAAGCCTTCCCCTCACTCCGTTCTCTAGGCTCTCATGGCACTTGTTCCCACCTCTGTTAAGACATCATGTTGGCTGATACTTATCTGTTTATATGTCTTCTTCATTAGAGTATACATTCCATGAGGACAGGAACCATGTCTTTCTGTGCATGTCTTATTCTCCTTTTTTTATATTTATTTGTCTTTTTTTTTTTTTTTTTTTTTTTTTTTGCACTAAAGACAGCAGACATTCAGTAAACATTAATTGTGTGAATGAATGAATGATTGGATGGACGTTGCATTTCAGTAAGACCTTGAGGGTGAGTAAGGTTTCCACAAACAGGATTAGTGGGTGGTGGTGGGGTTAAGAGAGGGAACAGCCTGAGTAGGAGCTGGGAAAGCCCAGATTTGTAAATGAGATTGGCAACCAATGGAGCTGTTGGAAGTGAGGACAGGTGAGGAGAGCTTTAACAAAAAGCTGGAAAGTGTTGAGAACGTGAGAGGAGACAGCAGAGGGAAAAGTTTGCAGTAAGAAGACAGAGTGATGGTGGAAAAGGGATGAAGAGGGTAGTAGGTGACCCCAGGGTTCTGTCCTTAGGCCTCCTCTCTCCTGGTTCCACAACCTCAACATCCTCAGTCACTTCCTCAGCTCTCCGGTGGTTCCCACTCAGACGTCTTTCTAGTACTCTTTTTTTCTCTTGAGTTCTAGAGCCTTCTGATGACTGAAGAACGGGTCCTAGACTGGTAGGAGCCAGAACTAGGTTCAAGTTTCGGCACTGCCACTAATTAGCCATGAAACATTGAGCAAGTCCTTTTAAACACATGCGTTTATTAATACCCCACCTTGTTCCAGAAAGGATTTAGGGTGTTAGCAGGTTACTTAATATCAGGGCTTCAGTTTCCTCATCTCTAAATCTGAAGTTTGGTCTAGGTGATCTAAGTTCCTTCCAGCTCTAACATATTGTAACTCTGATTCCAGTGATTTGTTGGTCATTTCAACTTACAAGTCTTGCCAGTGCTTCATATTTAGAATATGAAGAACTGAAAGAGAAAAAAGAAAAACAAACAAAAAACAAAACTAAACCCACAGCCCTGTCCTCTTGATATTGATTTCTTTTTCTTTCTTTCTTTCTTTTCTTTTTTTCTTTTTTATTTTTTTGGTTGTCTGGCCATATGGAGGTGTTGGAACCCTTGATCTTGGTGTTCTGATGTTGATTTCTGTTAATGGCATCACCATCCTACCAGTGACCCAGGACCAAAACTTAGTGTCATCTTAACTCCTCTAGCCTTTGCCCCTACATCTCAATTACTGACCCATATGGAGTGTAACACTGTCATGTCATTCCCCTTTCCTTTGGCTTCATGTAGTTGAAGCTCTTGTTGGCTGTCTGTCCCATTTTATTGACCCTCTATCTTGATGCTCCTGTCTCATTAAATTTCCTAAAGCACAGCTCTAACAACGCCAGTGCTCTGTTCCAAAACCCCAGTTACTCCCAACTGCTTGGAGAATACAGTCCAAATTCTCTAGCTGAGCATGAAAGACCCTTCCTGTCCTGACTGTACAAATTGTCTGCCTCTCCTTCCCATGACTCCCATGTGCTAATGAAACTGAATCACATCATGCCTTAAATGTTCCTGCCTCAGCTAATAACCTGCCATAACTTTTCCTAGTACTTTTTTGTCTGTTGAAATCCTCTCTGTCCTACTTTAGCTCTTTTGGCGGCATTTATCAGGTTCAGTCATTTATTTTAACTACTTGGTAACTTTTCTTAGCCCGTTCCACCCTGCATTAAATTGTCAGCTCCACAAAGGCAGAGACCATGTTTCATTTATCTTTGTTTCCCCCCTAAACACACACACACAGACACCCCTGACACACTACTAGAGAAACTTGAATCGAGATGAATCAGAATGAAACCTAGTCCAAAAATCACTTTCTCAACCCATGGTTATAGATTTTTATAGCTGGAAATCATCTGAGGAAATCATCTCATTTTACAAATGAGAAAACCAAGGCTCAGAGGAGTGAGGTCACTTGCCCAGTATTTCCAGCTTCCCTTGCACAGTTCTTTGTCTGCACTGCTCTGGGGACCCCACTTGCAGCCTTTTCATAGGCAGGTCTATTTTCATGCCTCTTCTTCCTTCCTGGTTATAAATGTCTTAACCTTGACACATTGCTTTCCAGGTGATTTTAGTTCATCATTTTGATACTGGAAATGTAGATTGGGAGTGGAAGACTAATTTGAGCAAATTTGTAGTTATGCTGCCTGAATGAACACAAGGTGGCAACACTGCACACAGACTCCAATTGAGGTTTGAATAGTGGAACTTTATGTTTAACGCTGGAAGGAACCTTAGACACCATCCAGTTCAACCCTTGTTTTTGCAGAAAAAAAAGAACCAGAGACAGGAGTGACTTGTCCAATAATTATTGAGTGGCAAGTGAGTCATCAGCTTTATTGGCACAAAAGCATTGACTCCAAAATTGTGAAGTAAGTTACTGTATGTATGGGACTCTAATTGCCAGATGATGATCTAATGTGAGTACTGTTTTGTGTGTCTAGGTCAAATGATGCTGTTTGGAATAATTTCCCGGCATTTACGTGGCTTAAAGAAACTCCCATGGTCATGTGACTCCAGATATTTCTGGGGCTGGTTGAATGCAGTGTTTAATAAGTAAGTTACTAACTAAAGTGAAGAAATGTGGGGGTTGTTACGGCTAGATGAGTTCCCAGTAGCTAGTTGGATTATTTCTTGTATTTCAAATGTTTTTGAACGACGTGTGTGGTAAGAGCCTAATTTTGTTTGCGAACAAACAAAAGATATGTACAAACATAGGAAAAAGACCAGAAAAATAGATTACAGAATATGAACTGTGGCTGTCTGGGTTGCAGGATTTTGGTGATTTTTATTTGTCTTTTTGATGCCTTTCAAGTTTTCTTTTCTTTTTTTTTTTTGGCAGAGGAGGGAGGTGGCTGGCTGGAATGGAGAACCAAACCCTTGATCTTAGTGTTACAGGGCCATGCTTTAACCAACTGAGCTAACTGGCCAGCCCTCAAGTTTTCTAAACTAAATCTTTATTACTTTTATAATCAGCAAACTTAGTAAATAAGGGCTGGCCAGTTAACTCAGTTGGTTAGAGCGTGGTATTGATAACATCAAGGTCCAAGGTTTAGATCCCTGTACTGGACAGCTGCCAAAAATAATAATAAAAACTTAGTAAGTGTAATTTTTAAATATTTAATTCTATGACTTCTTTTTTTTTTTTTTTTTTTCCTTTTTTCGTGTCCGGCAACGGATCACAACCCTCAGTGTCGCGCCCGTACCGGACCGGGACCGGCAACGGGATCGCAACCCTCGGCGTTGCTCCCGCCCCTCGCTCAGCCAGTGAGTGGCCTGTCTGTATGTGGGATCCGAACCCTCCGCGGCAGCGCCACCGCGCTTCCCAAGTGGCGCACTGTAGCAGTGCGCCACCGGGCCGGCCCAATTCTATGACTTCTTAAGGAATGTAGTTAGCCTTTTGAATACTATCAAGGGAACTTAAATTTTTTAAAAAACTAGTAGGTGGCATGCTTAGAAATATCATTTTGAAACTGATGACACTAACCTCATTGCTTAAGATAGCATATGATCACTAACTAGAGAAAAAGGCATATGTAGAAATTAATAAATATCACTTAATAAGATTAATTTGAACATGAGCTCAAAATTATTCCCTCTTTAATCTTTTATCTTTAATAAAAGTGTTAACCATCTGTGGTCATTCATTCAATACATAGTGACTGAGTGTCTCTGGGGTCAGGTACTGTGCTACATATGAATCAATGAAGACTCATGTCTGCTTGATAAATTCATATAAAAATAACATGCTTTGACACAGTTCACTTGGTAACAAAAAACAAAGCAAAAAAGTTGGCAGATAGAACTATAGTATTTTTTTCATGAATTTTTTCAATTATCTCCCTCCTCAGTCATTTGAAATGAAAATTGTTGCTGTGTTGTATTTATGTCAGTGAATACAGTTAAGAAACTAGTGATTAGAGTAGAAGCAAATTGTTTTTGTTCTCTTGCCAACAGAGTGGATCATGAACGAATCAGGGATGTTGGCCCCGACAGGGCAGCATCTGAGTGGCTGCTGCGCTGTGGGGCTTTGGTGCGCTACCATGGCCAGGAGAGGTGGCAGAAGGACTACAACCACCTCCCAACAGGCCCTCTGGACAAATACAAGATTCAAGCAATCGATGCCACTGACTCTTGTATCATGAGTATTGGATTTGATTACATGGGTAACTACCCTATGATTTAGCTTATAGGAAATGCAGGTGATTTACAGTGACTATTTTGTTGTAGTTGACTGACTATTATAGTGATAGGTATGTCCTTTTTGCCCATTTCAGTACAATCAGGTTTGTTTCTTCCTGTGTTGGATATTTATTTTCAAATTAAGTAGAGGTTACAAACATCTTTCTCTCCTCCCTCCCCTCATTACACTCATTTCTACATGCTTTTGTTCTGATTTGTTGACTTAAAATTCAGGGTCCTGTTTGTCAACTATCTTTGTCAAACTTCTGTCATTGAGAAACACTCAGTAATGTATGAATAATTATATCCACACAGCTTCTGCTTATGTGAGCATTTCTTTCCTCCAATTCATGAGCATCTGACTGCAAGGTGGCCCTATCCATCAGCACAACCTGTGTAGTGAATACCTTACATGGGGGCTGGCCCGGTGGCGCACTGCTACAGTGTGCTGCTTGGGAGCGCAGTGGCGCTCCCGCCGAGGGTTCGGATCCCACATACAGACCGGCCGCTCACTGGCTGAGCGAGGTGCGGGCACAACACCGAGGGTTGCGATCCCGTTGCCGGTCCCGGTCTGGTACGGGCGCGACACTGAGGGTTGCGATCCGTTGCCAGTCACAAAAAAAGACAAAAAGGAAAAAAAATAAAATTAAATAAAATTAAAAAAAAAAAAAAAAAAACCTTACATGGTTAATAGGGTGAACAATCATGCCAGTTTTCATAGGACTTAGAGGTTTCCCTGGACATAGAACTTTCAGTCTTGAAACCAGGACAGTCCTGGGCAAACCAGGACATTTTATCATCTTAATGGTAAAGCAGATTCTTAAACTGCACTTTTTCCCCCCAGAAGGCCTAGAGCATGTTGAAAAAATAAGGCTATGCAAGTGTCATTATATCGAGGATAACTGTTTGCAGAGGCTTAGTCAACTTGAAAAGTTACAAAAAAGCATATTGGAAATGGAAATAATTTCCTGTGGGAATGTCACAGACAAAGGCATCATTGCTTTGTGTCATTTAAGGTAGGTGGTCAAAGCCAAAATGAAAACTTGATAATGATGTTAAGGTGAATAGTCAGAATTTACAACCATTGAGGGGGTGATATCTTCTTTTAGTTCTGAAACATGTAATTTAAGAAAATGACCTCACTTTCATCTATAATACGTTAAAACGGTTAAAGCTATAGATCTTAATACATTAAGGTCTTATTGCATTTTTTAGGGGCATTTTTAAAAAATTAAATCTACATAACACATCCAGCATGGTGCCTGCCACAGTGTGTCCTCAAGAAGTATTAGTTGCTATGCTTCCTCTTCATTTTTTAAAGCAGTTTCCCCATATTTTTGTTATTATAACATTTGGTAGATACCTGTTAATATTTAAGTCTGTAATTAAGTTGCTTGAGGGGATAAAAACTTTGAAATATTCACCTGTCTCTGGAGCCTAGAACACTGCCTGACATGATCATCAATTTCAAAAGCAAGCATTCATTGGTTAGGAAGGTTGTTTTATATCCTCTTCTACCACCAATCAGATCCATGCCATGGCCTGGAGCAAGTCCTCCAGTACCAAATGCAAAAACAGATAATACTAGCAATGAATGTTTAATTCTAAAGTTGCAGAATTCTGAGTCTTCTCAGAATTATGAAGAAAGAATGTAAATTTGTTTAATTAAATTCCTGGTTTAGAGATCCCATCATTCAAATTCTGAATCTAGTTAATGTAGTTCTACTTTAATATGTAATGGATCTGCCAGTAACCTCAGTATCACAGGAAGTTTGGGAAATTTTAAACATTAGGACTAAAAGTACTAGATTGTTAACCTCTTATGTTAGTTGAGGCTTCAAAGCTTCATCTTCTAATAAAAACTTGAGTACACTTAAGAATTTTCCTCATTTTTCCCTTTTTTTGTCAAGATTCATTTTATCAAAAGAGATCTATGCCATATTGTATATATAACATTCAAATATATATATATACAAAGATTAGCTAGAAAGATTCAGCTAGAAATATTGATGTAATTAAGAATAACTACAATTTCCAAAGTCTGGCTTAATTTCTAGCATGAATTTCATTTAAAGTGATACTAAAACTACTGCTCTAAAAGTCATTTTGAAGGTTTAGGGTGATATAAATATATTCCGTTTGTAATTTTTCCTGAAAGTCAATAAAATGAGTTTATTTTTAATGCTATAAAAGTAAAAGCCAAACTGAAGTGACCTTTTTCTTTCTCTTTTTGCAGAAACCTCAAGTATTTGTTGTTAAGCGATCTTCCTGGAATAAAAGAAAAAGAAAACCTTGTCCAAACCTTTAAGACAGCACTGCCTTCTCTGGAACTGAAATTACACTTGAAGTAAAATGATAGTAATGTGTCTTATTTCAGCATAAAGGATCATTTGAAATTGTTGACCCTAAGAATCAACAAATATTATATAATCATCAACAGAACTATAAGGATGTCATATCATTTTAGAGATGGAGAGTCCATCATATACAGAAAATAAATATTCAGATGTGACTCACTAAAGTTACCAAGTTGGAAGTGAGAATTTATGTATGTTAAATCATCTAAAGAAAAATGCAAACTAGGTAGCATTTTAATTCTAACATATTCCTTATTTAATATAGATAGCTACATAGATCTTGCTCGGTTTTTTGGTTTTTGTTTGTTTGTTTGTTTTGCAGCTGGTTGGTGTGGAGATCTGAACCCTTGGCCAAATGAGCTAACCAGCTAGCCTACATAAATATTATTTGATGTAGATATTGATTTAGGCTTCTCTAAAGCAATTTAACTGAGTAACACATATTCTTTATTGTCATAGTAATTTACAGTATATTTTACTGTAAAGTTATTGAAGCATGTTACTATAAATGCACAATTATGAAAAAGTGGAAGCTACATTACAGATTCATTGGCAGAGTCAATTATGCAGAGTAATTAGTGGTTGTTGAGGCATGCATTTCATATTGCTTCCCAAGATTTGCATGCCTTTCTCATGATCCTGCACTTGTGCGTTCTTGATAGCATACACCCTTTCTGAGAATGAATAATTGCTGGTTAATCTATTTTGTAAACTAAGTCTAGTGTTTTATTAAAACTAGACATTGACACTTGGCTGAATTCTGATAGTTTTGCTGATTGCAGTAGAACAAAGGAAACCATCATAAAGACCAGCAGGTTATGCTTACATTTTTCCTAAATTAGAAAATTGCTTTAGGGCCGGCCCGGTGGCACACTGCTACAGTGCGCCGCTTGGGAGTGCGGTGGCGCTCCCGCCGAGGGTTCGGATCCCACATACAGACCGGTTCCCGCTCACTGGCTGAGCGAGGTGCGGGCGCAGCACCGAGGTTTGCGATCCCGTTGCTGGTCCCGGTCCGGTACGGGTGTGACACTGAGGGTTGCGATCCATTGCCGGACACGAAAAAAGACAAAAAGGAAAAAAAAAAAAAGAAAATTGCTTTAAACAGAAAATTTTAACATATCAATTAGAAACTAATTTTTCCTCTCTCATATCTTGGATACTACCTCCTATGAACACAAAACACATGAAAAGGAAGTATAAAAACAAAAATCAATTTGTATCTAGAAAGCAGTAATAAAGAATGTCATAAATAGATAAAACAGGTCTTTATTTTTACCTGTTTGAAAAGGTTTTTATTCTCTTTTTCTTTGAAAAGTCTTTTATTCTGTTAATGTTAGTTAATGGATTTCTGTATGTTTGGTTTAAATATTAAGCTGTTGAATATAAACTTGACTGGAAATAATTTTAAAATTAGCACTTTCTACGATGAAGCTTTCAGGTAGAAAAATGAAGTTTAGTTGTATTTAGAAACTAGCTTATGTAAATAGCACATAGCATAAATGATATATTATTTACAATTGCCACTGTCATTCAAAATATCAGAAAATAGTAAATTAAAAAAAAAAAGACAAGGGTATAGAACAGCTTTATACGGTATAGTGCTGATTCCATGCTGGAAAAAAAAGATTACAATATGGTTAAATTGAGCATAAGCATAAATTTAGTAGAACTCATTAGAGAAAAATGAGATCTTTTTCTCAGGTTTGTTTCATTACTCTGTGGTGAGACAACTGATTCACCATGATTTAGTCCAGAGCTACTTTTCTATTCTGAATGATTTTCTGTAAAACTATTGGCTGAATTAGGCAGTTATAAGTCATCTGCCTCCGTCAAGTGCATTTTCTTGGATTAAGGAAAAAAAGAAAAACAAAAATTTTAACTATTCACAGAACTTGGATGTCCTTCCTTGTCATTTGAATTAAAGCTACCTAACAGGAATTGACTAATACTGGGATATTATTATTTAACCCACTACCAAGTCTCTGCAAGAAGTTACATACATTAGAGATATCCTAAGGAAGCCTCAGGATATCATTAAACTGGATGGGGTAGCCAACATTATTGAACAGATGCCAGAATTTAAAGGATTACTTAGCAGTAAGTGAATGGGGTCAAACACTTTCATAAAGAAAATCAACACAGGAAAAAAATGGAAGTGCAGAAGAAATGCTTTGAAGATACAGTAAAATACAGTCATGCATTGCTTGACAATGAGGATACATTCTGAGAAATATGTCATTCAGCGATTTCGTCATTGTGTGAACATCATAGAGTGTATTTACACAAACCTAGATGGAATAGCCTTTTATACAGTTAGGCCATATGGTGTAGCCATTATAATCTTATGGGAGCACCATAGTATATGGAGTCCCATCATTAACTGAAATGTCGTTATGTGGCACGTGACTATATAACTTTGAAAACCATGGCTGAGAATGGCTAGGAAACATTGGCAGCACATCAACCAGAAATGGAATTGAGCTGTAAGAAACAGACATGAAGCTTCATATTGCCCTTGTGTCCAGAGGACAAGGATGAAAAAGCTTTTTGATTAGGCACAGTAGGCCAAATCAAAGCTAATTATATGTCATCATTTTAAGTCTCATTGTACAAAGCTAGGAATCCTCAATAATATCATTTTGTACTACTTTCTTATTAGTTTTATTAGTTGTTAGTATAGTGTGTGTGTGTATTATACACACACATACACATACATATAGTGTAAATAGACATTTCAGGGAAAACATCAGTTTATAACCTAACATCTTTCATGACTCAAGTAAAAGCTACAAGCACTTTCTTCTGAAACTCAGATCACTATGTACATTTCTGCCTATATATCTGTCTCTAAGTTTGAGGCTGAGCCGGAGAGAATGAAGTACTATTTGGGGGCTGACAGGTTTCATTCCTGCGAGGTCTGTAGGTCTTGTTCTACCTTTTGACCACCTCAGTCAGTTGCCAAGCTTCATGCCATTGTTTGCGAGGGGAATTTGGGTGAACAAGTGTAGATGGATCACAGTAAATCCATCTTGCCTGCAAAAATGACAAGATACATCTTTTACTGAGGGTAAAGACAAAAGTATATATAAGAAATGTATAAACGTTTAAATACAAAAGCATGTAAATTACAATCTTTTTATGATAATCCATGTGATTTTAAATATTTTGAACAACTTAAATATTCCCCCCCCAAAAAAATCTTTTAAAATAGAAAATCAAGAGAGAGCAAGCAAGAAATGGAATTTTAATCATTCTGATTTCAGGAACTAAAACTATCCTTAAATATGATCTGAGAGGCAGGAGAATAGGACTCGAGGCAACAGAGATTCAAGGAAATACATATGGGCATTTTATAATTTTTTTTTCTGGTGGCTGGCCAGTACAGGGATTGAACCCTGGACCTTGATCTTATCAGCACCACACTGTAACCAACTCAACTGAGCTAACCAGCCAGCCCTGTAATCCATTTTTCACTTGTGGCAAACAAGTATAAATCTTTTTGATTACATCTAATTTGCCAGAGGAATGGCTAGTAGATACAGTTTAAATTCTGTCCATAAGATAAACTTGGCTGCTTAGATAAGCAGAAATACAAGTGAAACTCCAAACAAGTTATTCCTTTCTGTTCTGGATACCATCATCAAACATAGAAGATTGGATCTGGAACTTCCCATTGTATCTTGCCAAGTGGCCTCCCAGTTACTTGCTTATTTTCTCCTGGTATGTTTTCAACATTGTAATTGTTTTCAATCAAGTGTATAAGTTTTATTTTTTTTAAATTATTGATTGATTCCTCCTTTATCATCAATCTAACTCATTAAATGTTTGGAAAACGGTAGTTAGGTTTCTTGGTATTACAGAAGTACTTCTTATTATCCAACGCTGGAAGGATGCTGCTGCTAGTTAGCTGAGGTAGGTACTGCAACTGAAAATACAAAACACAGAATTAGATTCAAATTCATGCCATGCATTTTTTTTATTATTTAGACTACCTCACAAAGGAGGTAATTAAGTAACTTTTTCAGCACAGAAATAAGTTGGGTTTTTTTGTTTTTTGATTTTTTGGGGGGCACAGAATCCAGGATCTGAGAGGACAAAATGTTTTAATTTGGTCTCTGCTTTTCCTTTTGAAGGATTAGTTTATATAGGAAAGCACAAACATGCACATTAAAGAAAATTTAGAGAATATAAAAAAGGGAAAATCTGCATGTTAAACATTATTGGACAAAAAACATAAGTTTACAGGAGTTGAGAGCTTGCTGGGGACCTTAGGGAACATTTAAACCAATGTCTTGTCTTATAGTAGAGTAAACTGATGTATGGAGCATCTAGGTGACTTGCATACTTTTTCTCTTAAAAGGCAAACTGCTTTCTTCAAGCATTCAGAAAATTTTGAATTTATTGCCAATGTCAAATAAGAAGAATACACCTATATTTCTTGTATGGTACAATATGGCCTTAGGTATCTGAAAAGGGTGTACTTTTTTTTTTTTTTTTTTTAAAATGTC